GACCGCCGCCGCCGCCGCCGCCGTTGCCACCGCCACTGCCGCTGCCAGAAGCAGCACTGGTGGAGGATGCTGCAGCGATACTGTCTCGTGCAACCGTCAGCATGGCGCCGCCTACTGTGTGGCCAAGGCCAAACGATCCAGCAGCAGCGGCAGCGGCTGCACCACCAGCACCAGCGCCAGCACCAAAAGTACCGAGCCCAAGGGCAAACGTTGCTAGAGACGAGACGCCTGCGCAATTCGTCCCCGGCTGCACCGTGGGGTTCTGAAAGCCCCCAAACGGCGGGGTTTGCGCGCAGTGCAGTTGCCCTTCCGGGAGTGACCCGAGGTCTCGCTGATGCAATATCATCGAAGCGGGCGTGCTTGGCGGTGGGTTCTTACTAAGAACCATTGGCGCCTCAAATGGTGCCATTGGCGGTTTTTGAAGCACCTCAAAGGGAGATTTCTGAAGCGCCTCGAACGGCGCTGGAGGTTTCAAAGGCGGCGCTTCAAAAGGAGTCGGCGGCGACTTGAGCATGCGCTGCCCGTCCATCTGCCGCCCTCCCTGCGGCTCCAGCTGCTTCTGCTGCTGCTGCTGCTGCTGCTGCTGCTCACTGCGCATTGCATCCATAACGCTGAAGTTGAAAATCCCAGGCTCCTGCTTTCGCTGCTCCACCTGCTGCTGCCGCTGCTCCAGCTGCTGCTGCTGCTGTTGACTGCCCAGTGCCTCCAAGAAAATGAAGTTAAATACTCCAGCCTGAGACTCCCCCTTCCGCTGCTCCACCATCCCACGCTCAACACCGCCGCCTACTAGGAGCAGAGGCGGCATTTGGCCTGGTATCACAGTATTCCCCCTGGGAGTAGTAGTAGTACCACGAGTAGTATCACAGGCGCTCTCAGATTGGCCCTGCGCCGCAGGCGGCAGCAGCGGCGCCTGCTGCTGTGGTTGCGGCTGCGTGCGGGGTGGGGACGCCGCCGCCGTTCCTGCCGCCGCGGGGAGCTGGATCTGCTGCGGCGGCGGGTGGTTGTGCTTCTCGCGGCACCACACGCGCCGCGGCATGAGCGTGCGGCCGCGCCGCTCGAGCACCGGAAGCGCGTCGAGCAGCTCTTGGTGCTCCCTCCAATCCGTCCCGCCGCTGCTACCCTCCCCGGCGCCGCCATCCTCATCACTCGCCGCAGCCGCCGCCGCAGACTGCGGCGTGGCGGATGGAAACGGAGGGGAGCCCGCTAACTCGGAGTCGGATCCCAGAGCGCCGCCGCCGCCGCTGCCGCTGCCGCCGCCGTCGCAGGCTCGGACGACAATAGGTACGTTCTTGGATGACGCCGATTCTTTCGGGACCTTGTCGATGATGAGCTTTGCGGGACAGCCGGTGGTGTCGCGCTCCGCGCAGTGGTAGTAGAACCTGCAGGAGTAAGGGCAAAAGGAGGAGAGCAGGAGCGGCGGAGGCGGTTTTAGTGGACCGTGAAATCTCACGAGTTTTGAACCAGCGGTAGAGCCGTGGCCGAGTGGCTTCGGATGCCCAGACTCTGGGTATTTTATTTTCCGCCAACAGGGACCTACATCGGTCCGCGCGTTCGTTAACTTACAACAAATATTTTTTTCTGTGCAACCTGGGAGATGATTGTAATGGCGATGATCGACGACCGAATCGCGTCCTGGAGACAGCCGCGTCAAGAGAGATGTGTTCCATCGAGTCTCCACAATAGATTATCACCTTTTGGCATTCTGCGAGACGAGAAATTTCTGTCCGTATTTTTTCCACTGGTAAGAGGCTTTCTCCTCCGTGCCGGCGGCCTTTCCGCCGGCCTCGCCGGTGCTTCCTAGCATCACTAATGCGGCTCGGAGTGTTGCCTGAACAACTCAAAACTTTCTTGGGTGACTCTTCAGAAATTTCACGCTCGCATGAGTAGATTCCTTGAGGTAAGGATGGAATACGCGAACTGAATTCGCAAGCTGCGACGCGTAAAAAGCGTAGAAAAGACGTGTCTTGCAGATCAGCTTCTCACAAAAAAATGAAGCTATCACGGTTCCGCCTTTCAAGTTCAACAAAGCAGGCGATATTTCAATAAGGTATTGCAGCAGAAACGACCCTGCCAGTGAGTTGGTTCCGCTGGAAGGGAGAGGGGGGATGAGGGGGGAGGAGGAGCGGGGTTGCGCTTGGATAGGGTGAGCATTCTGCCGTGGTGTGGGTGTTCGTGTGTGAGGGGGAATGGGAAAAAGGAGCAGAGCAGACGCAGTTGGATGAGGTGCATGCGCAAAGGGGCACTGGTTGGGCGAGGGGGGGGCAACAAGACGAAAAGAGGAGAGGATTGGGGGGGACCAGATCGGACAGGCAGGCTGGCTCATCCAGTGCAGGCATTCTGGTGGGCTCTCTGTTGATAGGCGCACTGTTTACAGTGGGACATGATTTGGCGCCGTGCCTGCCCTCAATTTGAGCCTTTGGAGTTTTGCGAAAAGAAGGATGCCTTGTGACGTGAGTGAACGTTGCGTGCGCATCCAGACCACACCCGACGGCGCGAAGAGCCTTGCTCCAAGAAAGGCAGATGCAGCAGTGTAAAAACAGTTGGGATGGGATCTCGTCTTGAAGGACCAGCTCGCATTGAATGCTACTGAGGGATGCCCGAACAGTAGTGTTTGACCATGAATGCAGCTGGATTCTCGCTGCTGCTGGTGTACTGCTTTGACGGGTACATTGGCGACGTGTTTAACTAAAAACTATACCGTTTCAGTTTGCAGTCTTCCACACGCAATTGTGGCTATTCTACACGATTTTCAAACCTGCCCCCCTGGATTCAGAAATACACTTCTTAAATCTGAGTACTATATCAGAAAACCCTGTCGGCAAGTGTGTACAATACGTACATTCCACTCCCCTGGAAGTGTATAGGATGTGGTGGCTTGCAGCATTCTGCCTTCCAGCAGGGTCGCCCGCATGTACAGCATCAAAGGGAGTGAGTGGCGGCGTCCTTGTTGGATGGCAGGGCATCTATGGCATAAAGCACGTACTTTTTGGTGTGCCCTAAAAACTTCCGTAAATACACACTGAATGTTTTTATGTATGTATTCGGGAATGTTCCTGCAGCAATTATTTTCCTGTCAATTATAACATTATTTATGATATCCAGATGTTGGGTGATTCGGCCAGGGCAGCGGTTAACAAAAAAGACAACTGGTTCACAGGTCGGCACCCTAAGCTGAAAGATGATGGCGCGGACGAATGCCGTTAGATATCGACATTGGAAAGGATGGCCAGCTTATCCAACGCGGTAGCTTTCACGCGCTTGTGCACTGTGTCAAGCCCGATGGCCATATGGACGTCCGTAGAGGCATAAACTTGCAAGGATGCCATATGCAGCAAACATCAAGGACGAAGGCTGCTGCAGTTAAAAAATAGTACAGTAAAAGACTCACCTTATGAGAAGGTTCATCCGTAGACACAACCTTTGCCAGGAAACTCAAATTTCAGAAAAAGCTGGCAACCAACCCGTGTACTGTACGTGTGTACTGGTACAAATACCGGGAAAGTTTTTTCCTTGCTCATGACCGTCGGATCGTTGTCCTCTCCTCGAGGACGTTCTCGTCGCTAGCTGCATATTGCACGACGCGGTTACGAGGTAACGCTAAACGAATCTAATCCAATCTCTATATGAAGTTAAGACTTGCAGTCGCAGCAGTGCATTCACGCACAAACCTCCAAATAGCTGGCAGGAAAGGAAACCAGTTTCCACACCGTACATACACACGTACAATATTAGATTCGAAAACACCCATCTGATGAGGGGGAACTGTGCATATAGTACTGTACTCACCCACCATTCGAACAGATAGGTTCGGGTTACTGTGCCAATTCATTACTGGACAAACATTTCATAAAAAGACGCCCGACCTAACTTTGCATCGTTTTGTTCATTGTTGTATTTAACTTGCTATTTGAGGAAAGGGCGCATAAAAAAAAAGGACCCCCCACAGTAACAACCCATTTGTACACCCCTTTTCTCGACCTTCTTACTTGTGGGCGGCTGCAGGCTGATTTTGTCCTATTTGAATTATCTTGTTCAACCATACTAGAACTATCTTTTACTGCTTTCAAACATACTGCTTCTTCCTGCAAGCTAGTATAACTGAGGTTAGTATAGCAAGAATGAGGGTGTACTTTAGATCCCATTGTGAACTTAGGCGTTCTTATATCCCTATACTTGTCAACCAGTTTAGATGTGTTGGTTGGTCAAGGCTCAGAAGGGGTTTGGAGTGGATTGACTAATCAAAGTTTTTGAGAGGTTTAGTAATTTAGCCAGTCTGTTCTTTCAGAAACAACTCTTCATTGTAAGAAGAGTATTGTCCGTTCTTCATTGTCCAGCTCGTCCAGCATTCTTCGTTGTGATGTGCCTTGGGCCGGTGAAAAATACGTGTTTACCCTTAAGGCCCATGCGGCGCGGGTTCCTTTTGGGATCTTATGATGAAAATCGTGTACCTTCCCAAACGAGTACAGTATCGCGCAATGGGTGGTCCAGCTGAGCCTTCACCAGCCAAACGGAATTACGGTACACTCAAATGAAATGTGCACTAAAGCATCCATTTCAGCATCAGACCAAAATCTGAGCCCGCAACCACTGAATCGGAGTGATTGTGGTTGTCAGTGAAATCTACAGTAGGAGCTCCATACACACCACAGGTGGGCCAAGGAAGAATACTGTACCGCGATGAATGCTTCGAAGGGCGCCGTTCTTCCAGAATCAACTGGAAGGGTCGTGTCACAAGTTGCACCAGCAGCGCGTCTGTTCATCGTGTCAAGTGTGCTAGTTTGCGTTACTGTAGCGCGTGTCAAAACCACGAGATTGTGCCTGGAATAGAACAATTTGCCCTTCTTGAGTTCACGATGCGCAGTTGGGAATTTAGCTCACTACATAGGGCCACCAAGCTAATCAAATAAATAACATACACGTTTGAAATGTAGGCGTGTTCTATACAAACAGAATATACCCACCATATTTCCTACTGGCAGAATACAACCATGACCTAGGCTTCATGATACCAACTTGACAAGTCGAATTTCAGGGAACTTGTCTTTCAAAGCAGCTTGTATCCCCATGGCCATAGGCGGTGGCCCCTCAAACCGCACTTCACAAAAGCCCTTCACAAGGTCAAGAGAGACTGCTGACGCAGACGCTCCGTACTTGCTGAGGGTGGGTTGGAGAACCTGTGAAAGATGATTCTCCACAGCCTGCACAAGAGGGGGGGGTGGGGAGGCCAGGAGGGTACAGGTGCAGGGGCAGATGGGACGGAAGGAGGAGGGGCAGGGAGGCACAGCCTTGATTCATTAGTTGGCTGGGATATCGCCTCAGATAGCAGGCACGGTTGATCCGTAGTTGCTCAGACTGGGTTGGTGGAGGACCTGTGATGGGGGATTCTCACAGCCTGCACAATGGGGGAAAAAAGGTAAAAGGTGGAGGGGCAGACAGGACGGAAGGAGGGGCAGAGAGGACAGAAGGAGCAGAGAGGCACAGCTTTGATTAACCCATCTGCTGGAATATCGCCTTGGATTGCAGGCTCGGTTGGTCCGTAGTTGCTCAGACTGGGTTGGTGGAGGACCTGTGAGAGGTGATTCTCCCTTGCCTGCACAAGGGGGTGAAGGGGAAAGGATGCAAATGCAGGCGGGACAGAAGGTGGAAGAGCATAGAGGCACGTGCACGCCTGTTTAGTCGGCTAGGAGATTACCTCGGACTGCAGTGTGCACAAGGGGGGGAAGAAAATCGGGTGAAAAGAAGGAATGGCACGCCCACTCACAGAAAGTGACTGACTGTGCTTACAGAAAGTGTCTGTGCTTACTGCGAGGGCGCGTGCTCAAAGGTTTGTGACTGTGCTTACAGTGAGGGTGAGCCTGTTGTCAACACCGCCCAGCTGCATCACCTCCTCTAGCTTCTCCCCGAACGCTTGTGTGTGCTTTGTGATCTCACAGCATTGCACAGCGCGTGTGTGCTTGCAGCGAAGCTGCATGTGTGTGCTTACAGCGAGGCTGCATGTGTGTGCTTACAGCGAGGCTGCATGTGTGTGCTTACAGCGAGCGTGAGCCGGTTGTCAACGCCACCCAGCTGCATCACCTCCTTGAGCTTCTCCCCAAACGCATCCTGCAAGGCCCTCTCAATGCCCATCTTCATTGTTGCTGCTGAGCTGGGGCACGTGTTGCAGGCACCTGAGGGTGTGTGATAGAGGGGGATACAAGAGCAAGAGCATGGCATAAGATTTGGCATCAGATAGAGGGGTACGTGGTAGGGATGAACCACATGGGTCCTTTCAATGCCCATCTTCATTGTGGCTGCTGAGCTGGGGCACGTGTTGCAGGCACCTGGTTGGGAGAGGAGGGAACAGGAAGTTGAGATGACTGTTGAGGTAACCCCGATGCATCTTGCAGGGCCCTCCCAATGCCCATCTTCATCGTGGCTGCTGAGCTGGGACACGTGTTGCAGGCACCTGGTTGGGAGAGAGGAGGGGACAGGTAGTTGAGGAGGCTGTTAGGACGACTCACATGCGATGCAAACTGCAGGGCCCTCTTAGTGCCCATCTTCATTGTCGCTGCTGAGCTGGGGCACGTGTTGCAGGCACCTGAGGGGAGGAGGAACAGGAAGTTGAGGAGGCTGTTAGGGCGACTCATGTGCAATGCAAACTGCAGGGTTCATTGTTGCTGCTGAGCTGGGGCACGTGTTGCAGGCGCCTGAGGCACAGAGAAAACTTTTTATTCAGCTCTAAATGACTTCTGTAAGGATGAAGCACACGGACCCTCTCAATTACCAACTTTCTGTTTGTTGCTCAGCTGGGCCACGTGTTGCAGGCACCTGACGGGAGAAGGGGGAACAGGACATTTAAGTGACAGCCAAGGCAACTCACATGCGTCCTGCAGGGCCCTCTCAATGCCCATCTCCATTGCCGCTTCATTACAGCTGCGATTTTTGCATGTGCATGTGCGTGTGCGTGTGTGTTTGTGTGTGTTTGTGTGTGTTTGTGTGTGTGTGTGTGTGTGTGTGTGTGTGTGTGTGTGTGTGTGTGTGTGCATCTCTGTGTGTTTGTGTGTATCTTTGTGTGTGTGTGTGTGTGTGTGTGTGTGTGTGCATACGCATGTCCGCCCATGCATGCAAGCCCATACCTTGCAGCTGCAGGATAACAACGCCATTCTCCACGGCCTTCACCTCCACATTGCCCCCATCAGCCACCAGGTACGGCCGCACACGATCCAACACACTGTGTGTGTGTGTGCGCGCATGTGCCCATGTATATGTGCATGTATGTGCATGTGCATGCACGTGTGCGAGTCCCTACCTTGCAGCTGCAGGATAACGACGCCATTCTCCACGGCCTTCACCTCCACATTCCCACCATCAGCCACCAGGTACGGCCGCACTCGATCCAGCACACAGTGTGTGTATGAACGTATGTGTGCATGTGCGTGTGCATGCATGCTTGTGCATGTGCATCTGTATGCAAGCCCATACCTTGCAGCTGCAGGATAACAACGCCATTCTCCACGGCCTTCACCTCCACATTCCCCCCATCAGCCACCAGGTACGGCCGCACCCGATCTAGCACCCGGTCAGCCGACTCAACAGTCAGCTCCATCTCCCCCTCCGCTTCCTCTTCCCCCCCACCTGCCCCCGTGCCTGAAGCACCTGGGCGTGCAAACGGGCTAACAATAGGTGCTGCAGAAGGGGGAGTAGTGGTGGATGGGGCTAGCCCGCTGCCTTGCTGTGCTGTTGCTGTTGATGCGGCTCTTTTCGCCTCTCCCGTTGCTGCTCTGGAAGGCTTTCCATTAGAGCCTGCTCTAGCGGCAACGGTTTCTTGAGTCTGGCCGTCAATCACAGAGCTCCAGTCGTCGCCCTCTGTGGCCTGCATGCAACAAAAATAAAAAAAAAAAGAAGAAGAAAAAAAAAACGCAGACAGAAAGGATGGATAAATGGACTCTATTCCATGCCATGCCTGTCCCCTCTCGACCTCTCCCACCACATCCGGCACTCATTCACTTCACCACCGTTGAGAATTCTCAGAAACGACCTCTCTCCACACATCCAGCGCCCCCTCGCTTCACCACCCCATCATCTCCCTCCATTTCTCCATTACACGAACCACACCTCCCCTCACCTGCAGCAGCTGCAGCCGGCGCCTGTCACTCTCCCCGTCCGTCTCCCCACCCTCCACCCTCCGCCTATACTCCTCATCATCCATCAGGTTTTCCCCCATCGCCTTGCGCATCCGCAGCCGCCGCTCCTCCTGCTCCGCCCGCTCCCCCTCGCTCAGCTCCCCCCCCTCCGCCGCTGCCGCCGCTGCCGCGCCCACCTGCGCGCCCTGCGCCTCCCACCGGGCGAAACTGAAGGTGGAGGGAGGGGACGGGGGAAAGTGCGGAAGAGAGGGAGAGGGATTGCAGGCGGACGAGAAGTTGGTGGAAAGGTGTAGTTGGATGGGATGGGATGGGTAGAATGAGCAAGTCGCACAGATAGCTTACAAGGATGGGGAGAAGAGAAGGGTATTTTTTGGGAAAGGATGTTGGAAGGAAGACAACAGGGACAAGCAACGAGAAGGAGAATACTCGTCTCGTGCTTACCTGCTCGTCAGCATGAAACTTTCGCTCTGCCCGAGCTCCTGCAACCACCGCCTCCGCTCCCCGTCCAGCACTGCCCGGGAAAGCATTGAATCTGCACGGTACACCTGCACTCGCACTGAGCTGCACAGCTCCTCGCCCATCGCCGCCCTGTGGCCCTGCGAAAGGGAGGGGGGAGAGGAGGAGGAGGAGGAGGAGGAGGAGGAGGAGGAGGAGGAGGAGGAGGAGGAGGAGGAGGAGGAGGAGAGAGTTGGGGAAGAAGCGGGAGAGGGAACGCGTCATGGTTTGTTACATAACACACTTGGTACACCTGCACTCGCACTGAGCTGCACAGCTCCTCGCCCATAGCCGCCCTGTGGCCCTGCGGAGGGCAGGGGGGAGAGAAGGAGGAGAGAGTTGGGGGAGAAGCGAGAAAAAAAAAAGGTAAACGTGTGTTTGGAATCGACTCGAAACACACCCGGTACACCTGCACTCGCACCGACCTGCACAGATCCTCGCGCATAGCCGCCCTGTGACCCTGCGAAGGGCAGGGTGACGTGTGACGGAGGAAGACGAGGACGAAGAGCAGGAGTGTGGGGTTGGAGAGCGATGAACGAATCATGTAGAGCTTTTGGAAGGCTTACATTTGCTCTCAAACTGAGAAACGGGTAGAAAGCTGCACTGCAAGCTCATGTCGACCGTTTGGATGCCTTGCATCTGCACAACCCTTCATCTATTAACCCCCCCACTCGACGAGCCCCCCAGTCCCTTGGGTGGGAGCCCCCGTGCTCCCTCAGCGCCTCTCACCTATCTGCGTAGCCACTGGTCCGCCCTGACTTTTGAGTCGACTCAAAAGTCCCCCCTAGAGGCTAGCTCGCACGCATGCATGCGAGCTTCTAGGCGAGCTCACCTTGAGCGACACGACGATGTTGCGCGAGTACCCCACGTACTGCAGCGCGCCAGCGCCGTCATACACGGCGTAGATCCCGGCGAGCTTCTGCAGCTCGCGCGCCGCCACGTAGTCCTGCACCGCGGACACCAGCGCGCCGTCGTCCTCGCCTGGCCGCACGGTGTAGGCGGATGACGTGGCCTCGTGCACGTCTGATGGGATGCTTGCATGGGGGTTTCGGAGAATGGGAGGTGCGGCATGGGAATGGGGAGGCGAGTTTTGAGTCGACTCAAAACTCCTCGCCTGGCCGCATGGAGCGTGCGGATGGATGGGCGTTTGAATGGGACGAGGGTTGAGGTTACGTCAACATGAAATCGAAGATTGAGTCGATTCAAGACACAGTAGCGGGGTGGCTTACTCGTCACGTACCCTGTACCTTAACGGCTCTGGTATACCTTAGAGCCTCACCAACCTTCCAAACCTTCGCCGTAGCAAATTCACGCATTTCTCTGTGCGACTCCTGACCGTCGCGTCTGCCATCAATGACACGTGGCCCCGTCCCGTTTCACGACTGGCAATGACGCTGATTCTGGCACTAGAAAGCCCTCACGTGTCGTCAAGTCCGACGTACCTCCCTCGCCGTAGAGGAAATCATGCAGCCCTCTGTGTCCCTCGGGAACTGTCGCGTCTGTCATCACTGCCACGCCTCCGATCCCCGGAACGCTGGCAGCCACGCTACTGGGCGGCGCTGATGCACTCGACGATGGCGACGATTCATTGGCTGTATCAACAGGTGCTGTCGAATCGGCTCGGACCACCGCAATTCGTGATTGGTTCGGCCTAAATGTCGCAGACCTTCGATGCGGAAGGGATTTTAGTAGGGAGTCATTGGCGAGTGGCCGAGCGGCGATGGTGCGACGTAGTTGATTGGGTTGTACTCTAAGCGTTAAGACAGCTTTAGTAGGTGCCATCATCGGGCGAATGTGAGACATTGCGGCGATGCAGCTCTCGCACACGACCGCCATGGCTGAAACAAGGTCCGAAAGTCACGGATGTCTTTCCTTCCGCGATCAATGCGACAAATAAGGGTAGAAGCTTCCCTGAATAGATTACCCCAATGGAGGACAGCGGCGAAGGGATTTGCAATAAGAAGCGAGTTCGAAAGCTTGAAACTGAACTCGCAAAAGGATCAGTACGGTCTAACGAAAGAGACCAGCTCGCCTCGTTATGTGTGAAGTGAGGTGTGGGTGGGAATGGCGACGACAATTCCAGGTTCAGGAACGTCTCAAGAAGTGCATCCTCCCTGATGAGCTTCTCCGAGCAGATTTGGGGAACCAGAATGCGAAAAATAGGTACAACCGAGAAGAAAAGAGCGGAAACGAGCCGAATTCCTGAAAATCGAGCTCCTCACAATGTCGGTCGGTCAACTTGAAGGTTTTCTGTGTCAGCGTCACGCGAAGTGTGAACGATTGCCTGTGGCCAATCAGTGCAAAGTGTTCGGATTGCGTTTCGCTCCGCGATTGGAATGACTGCCTGCCACATCCAGGGGGGCTGAATCTGGCAGAGGCTCGGTTTCAAAATCCGGGTCTCAACGTCCACGTCAGCCTGATGCCATGTGCCGACAACGCGACCAATGCTGGACTGTTTGTACGCTGTTGAAGATACGTCGATCTTATTAATGCGTCGATAATTCACAGCATAACCAACTAATCAAACCGTCCAACCCAACATCACCGCCCCGATCGAAACAGATCATAATCGCGCCAGCTGACTCCAGAACACAGAGGCTTAGCTGCAAGCTGATAGATGTTTCGGCGGTACGCGCTCGTAGAGCATGGAAAAGGGTCGAGTGGTGGTGTTGGACAACGGAGGGGCCTCGTGCAAAATAGGTTTCGGAGGGGAGGCGGAACCAGTGAAGGTCATACCTAACTTCGTCGCCAAGGCCAAGGGCCTGAAACGGCCGTTCGTTGCTGACCTGGTCGACACGTGTCCCGACATCAAGGTAGCAAGTCGTATCACTGAGATCAGTCACCATCCGCGCTTTCGCAAATTATGCCGCGTTTGCATCGTAAGCAGTATAAAAATGAATTCTGATTTACTATCGCCCGTGGTGCCGGTTTGGGCATGTTTCCGTCTTTTTTGCCGACTTTTTTCTAGGGTTTGGGCGTGCTGAGGCCCGTTGACCGGGGCTACGTGGTCAACTGGGACCTGCAGCGAACCATCTGGGACCGAGCCTTCTCCGGTATTCTCAAGGTATTCTCAACGTATTCTCAAGGTACTGCATGAAAGGAACCACATTTTGCCTCGTCAAGGCAACGCCTTCATTCTTCCTGATTCCGTTTCCTCACCTCCCATCCCTCGTCGCTACACGTCCCATCGTTCCTCTCTTCATCTCCAATTCCGCCTCAACACTCCCCGTTTCACCTCCCATCCCTCCTCTCCTCCCCACCTCCCCCAGGTGCAGCCGTCCAGCACATCACTATTGGTATCAGAGCCGCTCTTCAGCCTGCCGGGCATGCAGCGCAGCATGGCAGAACTCGCCTTTGAGCACTTTGCCTTCCGCTCCTACCTCCCCGTCCCCTCACCTGTGCTCGCGTACCGGCATGAGGTGTGTGTGTGTGTGTGTGTGTGCGTTTCTATCGATCTTGTTCCTCTCCATTCCCCTGTCCTCGCGTACTGCATGAGTGTGTGTGCGTTGCAGCATGTGCTGTAAGTGCATTCCTTCCTCGTTCCTATTTTCATTTCCATTCACCCTCTTTCTCACCCACTCATTCCTCCCAAACACATCGTCCCTGATTGTCGTTTTCCCCTGTCCTGCTGCATCAGGGCAGTCATCCGTGCTTCGTGATTCCCCACCACCATCAATCCCATCACTACTTGCCACGTCATCAGCCGCTGCTGCCAGCTCAGCATCAGCAGCTGCCAGCTCAGCAATGGCACTAGAGGCGGGCTGTGGGCTGGTGGTGGATGCTGGCTTCTCCTTCACGCATGCCGTGCCCATGTGGAACAACAGACCGCTGCTACAGGCTGTCAGGTGAAAACAACTGACCGCTGCTGCAGGCTGTCAGGCGATAACAGCAGACCGCTGCTGCAGGTTGCCAGGTAAAACCAACATTGTTGCAACAGGCTGCCAGGTGAAAGCAACAATTGTGTTATTTTATTGCATAAGAACTCATGTCGTACTCTCGTTTCCCCTCCTCCCTACTGTTGCCCAACTTCAGGCGCATGAACGTGGGCGGCAAGGCGTTGACGAATGTGTTGAAGGAGGCGGTGTCATACCGCGCATGGAACATGATGGACGAGACGTTCATCATGGACCATGCCAAGGAGCAGCTGTGCTTTGTGTCGCTCTTCCCCACACGCCACCTGCCGTTAGCCAGGTGATTTCTCAGGTGTGCAGGGCGGTTGGCCCAGGTGAGTTTCTTCGAAGTTATTCGTCTCAAAAGGCGAGTTTTGAAACCTTCATTGTGGACCATGTCTAGAAGCAGCTGCTTCTTGTCTCTCTTCCCCGCTTGCCTTCTCCCCTTGGCCAGGCGAATTCTAAGGTGATGTCTCTTTTCCCCTCCCTCCTCCCCTCCCTCCTCCCCTCCCTCCTCCCCTCCCTTCTCCCCTCCCCTCTCCCCGCCGTCCTCCTCTCCGTCCTCCTCCCGCCCTCCGTGCGCGTGCTCTTGCTTCAGGAAACGGGATGCGAGCAACATTTTCCGGGCAGAGTACTTGCTGCCCGATGGAGTGACTCTTCTGCGCGGGCAGGTGAAAGACCGTGCAGCAGCGATGCGGGCAGTGAAGGCTCAGGAGGAGCTGTGGGAGCAACACATAGCAGAGGAGGCGAGGGATGAAGAGGGATGGAGGAGAGGAAAGAGGGGAGTGGGTGGGACAAAACGGGGTGTTGCTGTGCAAGAGGGTAGAGGGAAGGGTGGGAGAGATCGGAGGGAGGAGAGAGGAGAACAGGGGGGAGAGGGAGGAGAGAAGGGGAGGAAGAGAGGGAGAATTGGGTGGGGGGGGGGATTGGATGAGGAGGAGGGAGGTCGGAGGCAGCAGCAAGGCAGTGGGGGTGGGGATGGTGGTGGTGGGAGGGGTGCAGGTGGGAACGACGAGGATGAGGAGGACGAGGAGGAGGATGAGGACTGGGATGAGACAAAAGGGCGCGGCAAGGCAAAAGGTGGTGCCAGTAGCGGTGGTGGTGGCAGTGGTGGTGGTGGAGGGGCGAGTGCTGTGGTGTCACCACCAGTGGTCAATAGCAGAGGCGCTGCTGCGGGTGGAAGCAGCAGCGAGCAGCCGGTGAGTGGAGTCGTGGTGTGGGGGGGGATGGGGATGGAATGGTTGTCATTCCTACACGAGAGCGAATGGATTATTCTTATTAAATTTCCAAGAAGAAATGGCGTAGAGAGGCAGACATTCCGTGTTCCTTTTGCCTCGTCACTGTCTTTCCTGACCCTAAAACTCACCGACTTCTTCCTCCAATGAAAACCCTTACCTCCACTTTTTTCCCTTCTCTCCCCTACCTCCCCCACTTCCTCTCTCGCCGTCTTCCCTCCCTCTCTTCCTTCCCTCGCCCCCACCAGGAGCTATCACTGGCATCGGAGCGCTTCATGGTGCCTGAGGGGCTCTTCCATCCTTCCGACCTGGGTATGACGCTGCTTGCTGCTCACTGCATGTTGCTTGTTCTTCCTCTTGGTGCTGGCTGTTGTTTGCTGCTGGTTGCCTTTCCCCCCTTCCCCTTTCCCCCACTCTCTCTCGCCCTTCACCCGTTCACTCTTTGTGCCTGTTGCCCTCGCACCTGCTCCAGAAGGGTCCATCTGACACCATTAGGAGTGAGCCGGGCAGCATGTGAGAGGTGCCTCGAAGATTATCCCCTTTCTCCCACCCTCCTCTGGATGGCCTATGCTGCGCTGCGACGAGTGGGCCACGCAGGACTGGCAGAGACAATAGTGACTGCTGTGAGTCTAGTCATTACCGCCCTCCCTCTCACCCTCTCGCTCACTGTTTCCACCCGGCCACCCCCTACCCTGCCCTCCCATCTCACATCACCAGGAGTGGGTCAGGCAGGGCTAGCAGAGACCATAGTGGCGGCCGTCAGCGGTGCTCCTCGAGTCATCCACCCGCTGCTTCCCTCCACCCCATCTGCCCTCCTCCTGCTGCCAGGTGTCAGCCAGGCAGGGCTCGCAGAGACAATAGTGGCGGCTGTCAGTGCGGCTCCTCGAGTCATCCACCCGCTGCTCTACTCCAAGTACGCCCTTCGCACTCTCTCCTCTCCCAACTTCTGAGGCGCCTGTCAAAATAGTAGTATGCTTTCAGCGCCACTCCAAGAGTCATCCACCCCCTGCTCTACTACAAGTACTCCCTTCGCACTTTCACCTCTCCCCTCTCTCAGACTCTCCTTTTTTGCTTGTCCTCTCTATTCTTTCCTCGCCCCTCTCATTACTCCTCTCTCGTTTCTCCTCCTTTCATCCCTTCTCTTCTCTCTACTCTCCTTTTTTCTCCCTCTTCTCTCCCCTTTTGTCTCTCGTCCCTACTCTCTCCTCTCTCGTCTCTCCGCTCTTTTCTCCCCTCTTATTTCTTCTCTCTCCTTGTTCCTTCTTTCACCTCTCCCCTTCACTTGCCCCATTTGCCTCTCCCATCCACCTCTCCCATTCACCCACATGGCAGCATTGTACTGGTGGGCGGCAGCTGTCAGTTCCCATTCTTCAAAGAGCGATTGTAAGAATTGCTAACCTATCTCAGCAATATTTCACTGCAAGTATTACCCAGTTTCTATTACTCGGTTTCAAGTCCATGATATGCGCATCATTGGCTGTGCCAAAACTGTTTACACCACTTCGGACGTGATCACGCCATGTTTTGGCGCTACTGCTGTCAACGTGTCCCATGCCGGTGTATGTCACATTTGTTATCACACAATCTGCCTCGATTACCCCAACCTTTCCCCCCCCCTTTTCCCTCTTTCCCCCCTTCATCCTTTTCCCTCTCCTCGTCCCTTGTTACTTCTGGCAGGGCGTTGGAGTTACGACCCCTTGTGCCCAACTCACTACCCATTAACATCTCTCTCTCCCAAAGGTGTGTAAAGTAAACTCTAGGGAGTCAATCCCAGAACCCTCAAGAATTCTTCCCGACACCATTACCCTGGATAGTCCCGTTCCATCATCCTAGGGGTTCGATGCACCCTGGGTTCGATGCAGATTCGCATGCAAGGTGCATGATTTGCCTGATCTTCGTGTGATGAGTCGATTTTTGAGTCAACTAAAATATCTACTCATCATCTCGGGGGTTTGATGCAAATTCGCATGCAAAATGCATGATCCCCTGATCTCCGTTGTTCAGTGCATTCCTGCCTGGTATGCGTGGGTCCATCACATCAGTGCATGAATTCGCTGTCTGTAGTGCGACTGACTAAACAACCATGGCTGCCAAAGTTTCTGCTCGAGTGAGTGTTGTTACGGTAGTTGTTGCGACCGGGTAACAGTTGTCTCTACGTTTGGCGTGCGGTCTCTGTGTGCTTTGTGTGTGTGCGGTGCATTCTGCAGCCCAGTGGTGAGTGCATGGAAGGGAGGTTCTGAGTTGGTCAAGTCGGGAGAATTTGCAAGAAAAGCAGTCACAAAGAAGCAGTATGAGGAGTTGGGTTTTGACAGGGTCTCAGAACTGTTCAAATACTGATGTTACATCTCATTTGAAGAGCTTAAAGCTGTGGTTGTATTGCTACAAAAAGTTGCAAAAGCAGCACCAGAAGAAGTATCCATTGCCCACTACATCATTTTGGGAGCTGAAAAAACACGCTTGCAATTGCAACAGCATGAATCTCAATGCTACGTGACTTCGAGTTGTGTTATTATCAGAACCTCTATGTGGAAGCTGTAGCAGTAACAGGAGATGCAATAGAGAGTCCTGATTGCCATGCAGGAGTGGTCTGCTCAAACACATGCGCATACTTGAGAATGGCCGCCTGTGGAAGGAGGGAGGAGGGGGGAGACGGTTGTTGGGACGTGGGTGGTGGGTGATGGCCACCATGGAAGAAAGCTAGTCTGCTCAAACACATGCGCATACTTGAGAATGGCCGCCTGTGGAAGGAGGGAGGAGGGGGGAGACGGTTGTTGGGACGTGGGTGGTGGGTGATGGCCACCATGGAAGAAAGCTAGTCTGCTCAAACAGATGCGCATACTTGAGAATGGCCGCCTGTGGAAGGAGGGAGGAGGGGGGAGACGGTTGTTGGGACGTGGGTGGTGGGTGATGGCCACCATGGAAGAAAGCTGGTCTGCTCAAACACATGCGCATACTTGAGAATGGCCGCCTGTGGAAGGAGGGAGGAGGGGGGAGACGGTTGTTGGGACGTGGGTGGTGGGTGATGGCCACCATGGAAGAAAGCTAGTCTGCTCAAACAGATGCGCATACTTGAGAATGGCCGCCTGTGGAAGGAGGGAGGAGGGGGGAGACGGTTGTTGGGACGTGGGTGGTGGGTGATGGCCACCATGGAAGAAAGCTGGTCTGCTCAAACACATGCGCATACTTGAGAATGGCCGCCTGTGGAAGGAGGGAGGAGGGGGGAGACGGTTGTTGGGACGTGGGTGGTGGGTGATGGCCACCATGGAAGAAAGCTAGTCTGCTCAAACAGATGCGCATACTTGAGAATGGCCGCCTGTGGAAGGAGGGAGGAGGGGGGAGACGGTTGTTGGGACGTGGGTGGTGGGTGATGGCCACCATGGAAGAAAGCTAGTCTGCTCAAACAGATGCGCATACTTGAGAATGGCCGCCTGTGGAAGGAGGGAGGAGGGGGGAGACGGTTGTTGGGACGTGGGTGGTGGGTGATGGCCACCATGGAAGAAAGCTAGTCTGCTCAAACACATGCGCATACTTGAGAATGGCCGCCTGTGGAAGGAGGGAGGAGGGGGGAGACGGTTGTTGGGACGTGGGTGGTGGGTGATGGCCACCATGGAAGAAAGCTAGTCTGCTCAAACACATGCGCATACTTGAGAATGGCCGCCTGTGGAAGGAGGGAGGAGGGGGGAGACGGTTGTTGGGACGTGGGTGGTGGGTGATGGCCACCATGGAAGAAAGCTAGTCTGCTCAAACACATGCGCATACTTGAGAATGGCCGCCTGTGGAAGGAGGGAGGAGGGGGGAGACGGTTGTTGGGACGTGGGTGGTGGGTGATGGCCACCATGGAAGAAAGCTAGTCTGCTCAAACACATGCGCATACTTGAGAATGGCCGCCTGTGGAAGGAGGGAGGAGGGGGGAGACGGTTGTTGGGACGTGGGTGGTGGGTGATGGCCACCATGGAAGAAAGCTAGTCTGCTCAAACACATGCGCATACTTGAGAATGGCCGCCTGTGGAAGGAGGGAGGAGGGGGGAGACGGTTGTTGGGACGTGGGTGGTGGGTGATGGCCACCATGGAAGAAAGCTAGTCTGCTCAAACACATGCGCATACTTGAGAATGGCCGCCTGTGGAAGGAGGGAGGAGGGGGGAGACGGTTGTTGGGACGTGGGTGGTGGGTGATGGCCACCATGGAAGAAAGCTAGTCTGCTCAAACACATGCGCATACTTGAGAATGGCCGCCTGTGGAAGGAGGGAGGAGGGGGGAGACGGTTGTTGGGACGTGGGTGGTGGGTGATGGCCACCATGGAAGAAAGCTAGTCTGCTCAAACACATGCGCATACTTGAGAATGGCCGCCTGTGGAAGGAGGGAGGAGGGGGGAGACGGTTGTTGGGACGTGGGTGGTGGGTGATGGCCACCATGGAAGAAAGCTAGTCTGCTCAAACACATGCGCATACTTGAGAATGGCCGCCTGTGGGAGGAGGGAGGAGGGGGGAGACGGTTGTTGGGACGTGGGTGGTGGGTGATGGCCACCATGGAAGAAAGCTAGTCTGCTCAAACACATGCGCATACTTGAGAATGGCCGCCTGTGGGAGGAGGGAGGAGGGGGGAGACGGTTGTTGGGACGTGGGTGGTGGGTGATGGCCACCATGGAAGAAAGCTAGTCTGCTAAAACACATGCGCATACTTGAGAATGGCCGCCTGTGGGAGGAGGGAGGAGGGGGGAGACGGTTGTTGGGACGTGGGTGGTGGGTGATGGCCACCATGGAAGAAAGCTAGTCTGCTCAAACACATGCGCATACTTGAGAATGGCCGCCTGTGGAAGGAGGGAGGAGGGGGGAGACGGTTGTTGGGACGTGGGTGGTGGGTGATGGCCACCATGGAAGAAAGCTAGTCTGCTAAAACACATGCGCATACTTGAGAATGGCCGCCTGTGGAAGGAGGGAGGAGGGGGGAGACGGTTGTTGGGACGTGGGTGGTGGGTGATGGCCACCATGGAAGAAAGCTAGTCTGCTAAAACACATGCGCATACTTGAGAATGGCCGCCTGTGGAAGGAGGGAGGAGGGGGGAGACGGTTGTTGGGACGTGGGTGGTGGGTGATGGCCACCATGGAAGAAAGCTAGTCTGCTCAAACACATGCGCATACTTGAGAATGGCCGCCTGTGGGAGGAGGGAGGAGGGGGGAGACGGTTGTTGGGACGTGGGTGGTGGGTGATGACCACCATGGAAGAAAGCTAGTCTGCTCAAACACATGCGCATACTTGAGAATGGCCGCCTGTGGGAGGAGGGAGGAGGGGGGAGACGGTTGTTGGGACGTGGGTGGTGGGTGATGGCCACCATGGAAGAAAGCTAGTCTGCTCAAACACATGCGCATACTTGAGAATGGCCGCCTGTGGAAGGAGGGAGGAGGGGGGAGACGGTTGTTGGGACGTGGGTGGTGGGTGATGGCCACCATGGAAGAAAACTAGTCTGCTCAAACACATGCGCTCTGAGAATGGCCGCCTGTGGAAGGAGGGAGGAGGGGGGAGACGGTTGTTGGGACGTGGATGGTGGGTGATGGCCACCATGGAAGAAATCTAGTCTGCTCAAACACATGCGCATACTTGAGAATGGCCGCCTGTGGGAGGATGGAGGGAAGGAACGTGGGGGTGGTTGGGAAGGTGGATGTGGTGTGGGTGGTGGGTGATAGGGCACCATAAAAACCAACTCTCTGCTCAAACACATGGGCATTCCGCGTTGCTGATAATGGCTGCCGCCTGTGGGCCTACCTCCGCTAAGGGAGTGCCGCCACGCCCTTCGCTCAAAGCCGCCTTTCAATGCACAGGCACATTGCCTCCGATTCAGCACAGGCTTGCACCTCACCTCAGCGAAAGGAGCACCAATGATCTGAAGGCCGATGGGCAGACCGCGTGGCCCACCGGGGGCCAATCCACAGGGCAGGGAGATGGCTGGCAGACCCGCCAGGTTCACATTAACCTGCGGTGCAGAGTGGTAGAAATGGAGATGAGCACGGTCTTGAGATTCCTTACAAAAAATCAGATGGGGATTGACTATGAGCATTCTTTGAACGTGATATACTCTCATATACTCAGAACCGGGTATACTAAGGAAGGAAGCTGCTTGAGGTTTTAATCAGAGAGTCCACTTACCGTCATGAGGTCTCCAACATACATGGCGAGGGGGTCTGATGTCTTCTCACCTGCACGGATGGGCGACAGCATTCAACGAAAACAATATCCACAGGCTTTAACGCACAGCTGCAGCCATGTATTGAAACGACGGGACCCAACGGTGTTCTAGCAAACGCCAACATACATACATGGCGAGGGAGTATGACGCCTTTTCACCGGTAACGCAGTGACTTTTGAGTCCACTCATAAGGACCTAACTCGTGCTCTAGCAAACGCCAACATACATACGTGGTGAGGGGGTCTGATGCCTTTTCACCAGTAATGCAGTGTAACATGTTTGCTGTTGGCACAGCTTCTGATTACAGCTTCTGTGGTTACAGATGCTTACCCGAGAAACTCTTGTGGTTACCAGTGAAATGTGTAACGAAATCTTGTGTGCTTTCCAATGAAACCCTTGTGTGGTGTGGTTACCAGCTTGTGTGGTTACCAGCTTGTGTGGTTACCAGCTTGTGTGGTTACCAGCTTCTATGGTTACCAGCTTGTATGGTTACCAGCTTGTGTGGTTACCAGCTTCTATGGTTACCAGCTTGTATGGTTACCAGCTTGTGTGGTTACCAGCTTGTGTGGTTACCAGCTTGTGTGATTACCGATGCGGTAAGCTGTGGTGGGCGCAGTGGGGGTGATGAGGGCGTCATGCCCCTCGAGAGCTGCCAGGAACTCCCTCCGAATCATCGTGCGCACCTGCCATGGGCGGAGGTAGGTGATGGGGGAAGGGGTTGGGAGGGTGTGGCAGAGGAGGTAGTTTGATCGTAGGGGAGGTATGAAATCATCATGTGCACCTGACATGGAGAGAGGAGGTGAAGGTGGTATTGGGGGTAGTGCTGGTACCTTCCGCACAGATCGTTATCACCTGACAGGAGTGTGGGGGAGGGGAGGATGCACCTGAGAATGCACCTGAGGATGCACCTGGACAAGTACATGAACAAGTACCTGAAGAAGCACCTGAACAAGCACCTGAACGAGCACCTTTAGCATCTGACCTGCTGGGCCTTCTTGTAGTAGGCATCGTAGTAGCCTGCGGAGAGCGCGTATGTGCCCATCAGGATGCGCCGCTTCACCTGGCCCATCAACACACGGAGGAGCAATAGCAAAGAGAGCAGAGAAACATAGATGTGAACACGAGTGCGAATGTGGAAAAAAAACTCCTCTGAATCCCTCAATAATTTTTTTCCTCAGGTTTAAGTTCTTCTCAAATTATCACCTCTCGCGACCTTCTGAATCATCATCTTTCTCCAAATGCTCACTTCCCCGCCACCTGCTCACCTCCTTGCCAAAGCCCTGGCCTCGAGTGTTGCTGTAGAGAGACGTGAGGTCGGAGCCCTCCAGCTGTGGTCCAAACCTGCATGAGGAGTGGAGTGGAGTGGAGTGGAGTGGAGTGGAGTGGAGTGGAGTGGAGTGGAGTGGAGTGGAGTGGAGTGAATTGGAGTGAAGTGATTAGCATTCGTCGTAAACACCACAAGCGGCGGTGTAATACTCGAGGCAGCACAGCACGTCACATTTCTTTAGGCACCTTGGGTGTTAGCGGAGCAGAACATTTCCTCAGAACAGGGTGGTGGCGCAGCAGAAGTCGTCCACATTGGGAATCAAAAACATGAGTAGGAGTAGGAAGGAGGAGGTGGGGGAAGGACGGAGAGGGAGGGAGAGAAAGGGAGAAGGTGGAGGAGGGAGAGAGAGGGAGAAAGGGGAGGAGGGAGAAGGAGATGGGGGGTCAGGGGCACACCTGATGCCGTCGTAGCGGGAGAGATTGGAGGAGGCTTCAGAAGGTGCGAGGATGTAGTATGCTGGCAGGCCATTGGCGAAGAATGGCATGGATACCTGCAAAGGGAGAAATGAGGGAGGGATGGAGCGGCGGGAGGGATAGATGAGTAGAGAAATAGAAGAAGAAGCCCGGTCCATCCTGTTTTTTGAGAATTCTAAAAAAAATAGAAGGAAAACATCCCCGGTCCATCCTGCTACCAAGGTGGACTTTTGAGTCCCGACTCAAACATCGACTCATCGCACGCTGAGTAGAGAAATAGAAGAACAACCCTGATCCATCCTGCTACCAAGGTGCTGCAGGAAGAGGAGGGGGAAAAGCAGTGACAGCTGCAGGTGGGACGGGATAGTTGCTCCTCCTTGTTCTTCACCATTGTTCAACTACAGAACTTCTCCCTCCCTCCTTCCTTCCTCCACCCCTCTCTCCTCTTACATTCCTTCATTCATTTCTTCCACACACCCACCCACTCCCAAAAGCGAAGAAATAGAAGAACAACCCTGGTCAGAACCCACCTCCTCGACGGTGGCTACGTGTATGAAGAAGTGTTTTGAGACGTCTCAAAACACTTCTTCATACACCCCACCCACCCACCCACACACCCACACACCCACCCACACACCCACACACCCACCCACACACCCACCGACTCCCAAAAGCAAAGCAACAGAAGAACCACCCCAGCGTCAGAACCCACCTCCTCGACAGTGGCTCCGAGCGTCTCGTAGTGCGCCGCTGCCGCCCGGACGGCCTGCGCCACGTCAGCATCGACGCCCGCGCCCATGGTCTCCTGGACCAATGCGAGGCGGACACCTGTCAGCGGCTTGGAGGCGAGCGAGGCGACGGGGAGGAGGGCGGCCGTGTAGTCTGGTACTGGCTGGCAGGGGTGAGCGTGGGGGAAGAGAGAGAGAGAGTAAGGAGGAAGGTAGAATTAAAGCCACTCCACAGAGATGGAGGGGCCGGGGAGGAGGGCGGCCATGTAGTCTGGTATTGGCTGGCAGGGGTGAGGGTAATGGGAATGGGGAGGGGTGCGGGGGAGAGAAGAAATGCTCAGGGCAAAAGGAGGAGGGAGAGGGAAAAATGACTCCTTGCTGGCTGGACGCATACGCCTTGTTGTGTGAGTCAATGCAATGACTGATGCAGCACGCCCACGCACAATGCAGCACGCCCACACCTACCCACACGGTCCTGGCAAGGGCGTTTACTAGGCTGGGCCCAGCACAGTGTAAGTAAGCACACCACTTCTCGCAGCTTCTCACCTCCTTGCTGCACGTGCTGTCACCGTCGTCCCTCCCCGCCATGGCCTGCAGCACGATCGCCGTGTCTTCCACCGACCGCCCCAACACGCCCACACAGTCCAGGCTGGACGCATAGGCCATGAGGCCAAGGCGAGAGACTCGCCCATATGAAGGTTTCAAGCCGACTATACCGCAGAATGATGCAGGGAGACGCACGCTGCCCCCTGCGAGATAAGGGGATGGAGGGGAATAGGAGGGTGAGGGATTGCTGAGGTATGGAGGAAAGGCACACATAGGCCATGAGCTCAGCACGCCCACGCAGTCCCCCCCCCCCCCCCTCTCTACTCCCCTCTCTCCCTCTTACCTGTGTCAGAGCCCAGAGCCACGGCACACTGCCCCGCTGCCACAGCAGCAGCAGAGCCTCCTGAACTGCCGCCTGGCACTCGCGAGTGGTCCCAGGGGTTGGCTGTCACCTGAAAGGGTGGGGAGGGAGGGGAAGGGAATGTTCTGAGGTGCCACGAAAGGCACAGCAGCAGCAGAGCCTCCTGAACTGCCCCCTGGCACTCGCGAGAGGTTCCAGGGGTTGGCTGTTACCTGGTAGGGGTGCGAAGAGTGGGTGATGGGGAAAGTGGGGTGGGAACTGTTGACGTGCGTGAAAAGTCAGAGCAGCCGCAGAGCCTAGCCTCCTGAACTGCCGCCTGGCACTCGCGAGAGATCCCAGGGGTTGGCTGTTGTCTGATTGCGAGTGGAGGCGTGATGAGGAAGGGTTGGGTTGGGAAAGGCGGGGAGGAGGTGTCAGGAACTGGTAATTGATAAGAGGAGGTGGACAACATGACAGGATGGCAAAAACCCTTCGGAATGACAGGATGGTCAAACACATGCACTCATGCACAGACGCATAGATGCAAGTTACCTGGTAACCAGACCCCTCAGTGGTGCTGCCCATGCCAAACTCGTCCATGTTTGTGCCGACAAGTGCACTCACGGACAGACATGGATATACACGCGCGCGCGTACACACACAGACATGCCCACATACGTGCACGTTACCTGGTAACCAGACCCTTCTGTGGTGCTGCCCATGCCAAACTCGTCCATGTTCGTCTTCCCCACCACCACTGCCCCCTCCGCCTTCACCCTCCCCACTGCTGTCGCATCGTATGGCGGCATGTAGCCCTGGGGTGCACAGGTAGGGAGACACGACACAGAGAGCAACACACATCAATCAACACAGAGACGCAAGTCTGGGGACTCGTGAGGTGAAGAATTTCCAAGTTTGAGGCACTTCAGAAATTGACGGCACAGCACATCGGCTTGCCATGTCAGCATGCCACGTCAGCAGACCTTGAGGATCTTAGAGGCAGCGGTGGAGGGCATGCCACGTGTGCACAGGTTGTCCTTCACCCCCATGGGCACTCCGGTCAGCAGCCCCAAAGTTTTCTCTCCGCTGCCCGACTGAGACGCCAGGGCAGCATCAACCTCCCGTGCCTGCTGCAGCACCGCCTCCCTGAATGAAAAGAAGAAGAAAAGGAAATAATCATTATAAACATATTGGGGAGAGGGAAGAGGAGAGGAAAGGGGGGAGGGGGAGGGCCAGGTTCAGGGTTTTATGTCTCAATATCCATGGTTCATGGGATGGGTTTTACCGGCTCCTCACTTCTCGCAAGCTGCCCCACCATCACACCCACTGTCGATCATCCCTGAGTGTATTGATTTGGCTTTGAGTCTACTTGGCCGACTTTAGCTGACTTGACTTGGCCACAAGCCTCACAGCAAACCCATTCAACTACAGTCCTACCCATACCTACCCATACCTAGGAAGCTTCCTACCCATGTCGGAGAAACTACCTGTCAGTGTGGAGGAAGCTTCTCAGCTGCCCCTCCTGCGCCTCCAGCCGCTCCAGATACTCCTCTGCCACGCCGACAGCTGTCCGCTCGCCACTCGCCAGCTGGCGCTGCGCGGTTGGTCGGGTGCAGTTGGTGGGATGCGAGGGGAAGAGCGAGAGGGAGAGGGAGGGAGGGAGGTTGAGGGACAAGAGGGATGGCATACGAAAGAATGGGAGGGTGACAGGCGGTAGATTGATTGGGGGAAAAAGGGATGAGGGAAAGAGGTTCCCCAAGGTAAGGGGATGAGTAGGGGACGACAGGGGTGGGGATAAAAGGAGGGGAAAAAGGGACTGAGGGAGAATTGGAGGAGAGATGGGCGGTCGCGAGAGGTTGCAAGGTTTGACGACGGAACGCTCCTACCCTCGCCTCTCAGAGCCCCCTCACCAACCCTCCCGCTCCCCCTCTCCCTTCGCTCCCATTTTCCCCTCGGCCCTCCCTGGTAGACTACGCAAGGTCACGGTTGCGACAGCAGACCTGAATTTCGCGAATCGCGGAATGTGGGCGTTGCGACTCGCCACTGGAAGCTGAGCTGGCAGACACGTCATCATCTCCTGCTGCCGCCGCGACTCGAACGACGGAACTGCGATGCCGCCGATGGTTCAATCTTGACCGTTCGCCTGTGAAAAGAGGGGTTCTGCGCCAGAGAGAGGATCTGCCAATGCCGGCTCGACACGTGGCTGTGAGGGACGCGCTGACGTTTGATCCGCCGCACGGTGCGGGAGAGAGGCGAGAGAGCGAGAGAAGGTGCTGCGGCGAACGCAGCAGATGATGACACGTCATGATTACAGCTGACGTGACGGTATTTCGAAATGGAATGGGCTGCTTTCGAAATGGCGGGAAAGCCAGGGGGCGAGGGAACATGGTTGAAAGAAATACGCGGCATAGGCTTGACAGAAACGATCCGAATGGCTCTATACAGCACAATTATAACCGTGCACCAAACTAATCCACAGAAATAGGTTGACAGAACACTTATTCAGCCTCAAACATTCTACTACAATCATAAGCTGGTATCACCCATCCCCCACCCCTCTATCCTCATCTACCTCAACTCTTTCCTTTGTTAGTGCATTAGAACACTAGTCTAGAGTTAGTGGATGTCTCTATTCCACCAGCGATACCACCTTGCATGCACCATAACAAGACAATCCTACGAGCCATGCACGCACACATGCATGGGCCGAGCAAACCTCCCAACATGCCACAAGCATCCCCATTGCGCCATGACTCATCCATGAACCACTGGCATGAGATGGGATGCAGCAGACGCCTTTCATCATTACCTCGAAAATGCTCCTTCACCACCTTAGTCAACCAAGCCCAACCCCCCATCAATCTTCGGCTCATCCACACAGCACTGCCTGCCTGTCAGTCCGTGTCATTTCCTAGCACAAGCCTCTCAACCACCCTCCCCGTCCACAACACCAGCCTCCCAACTCCGTGCAATAAACTGACCCATGCACTACCACAGCACGGTGCCCCCGACAAACTTCCAGCAGGTGCAGTCTGCAGCATGCCGCACACCACCAGCCTCTCAGCCGCCATCCCCACACACTACCGCAGCACAGTGCTGCCAACGATCTTCCAGCAGGTGCCGGTCTGCAGCAGCTCGTATCGCTTCCTCCTGCACCACACTGCACCGCACACAAGCCACTACTACCGCAACACAGTGCCCCCGACGATCTTCCAGCAGGTGCCGGTCTGCAGCAGCTCGTATCGCGCCGTGTACGTGCTTCGATACGCATCGTTGTGCGTCGGGTCTGCTGCATCCACCAACCGTGCTGCCTCCTGCACCACCGCTTCTACTACTGCCTTCTTCTGACACTTGCTCACTGCTGCCATCTCAACCTGTGGGGGAGGAGGGAAGGTGGAAAGGAGGAAGGGAGGGAACCAGGGAGGGCCTTGAGTGGGGTCTGCTGCATCCGCCAGCCGTGCCGCCTCCTGCACCACCGCCTCTACCACTGCCTTCTTCTGACACTTGCTCACTGCTGCCATCTCCAGGTGTAGGAGACACAAGACATGGGCGGGCGGGGCAAGGAGGAAGGGCCACGAGTAGGGTCACCTGCATCCACCAGCACCACCGTTTCTACTACAGCCACTGCAGCTCACTGCTGCCATTTCACCTGAGGAACCTCCACTCACATTGAGACTAAGGAAGCTGTACTCCCAGAACCACCCGTTGTTCTCCACCTCCTTAGCCCGGTTCCGCCACAGCTCTAGCATGGGCCCCTCCAGGATCTCCCCCAACCAGTCCACCCGGTGCTGTGGTCCCAGCGCTGCCGCCTTCACCTCCTGGACGGAGATTCGAGCCATCTCAAAGGGTGCAAACACAGTACACCTCACAGTCAGGCTTCAAAACCCCGACTCACATTGAGACCAAGGAAGCTGTATTCCCAAAACCACCCGTTGTTCTCCACCTCCTTGGCTCGGTTGCGCCACAGCTCCAGCATCAGCCCCTCCAGAATCGAGTTTCGAGCCGTCCCAAAAGGCAGCACAAACACAATACACAGCCTCTACTCACATTGAGGCTGAGGAAGCTGTATTCCCAGAACCACCCATTGTTCTCCACCTCCTTGGCTCTGTTGCGCCACAGCTCCAGCATCGGCCCCTCCAGGATCTCCCCCAGCCGGTCCACCCGGTGTTGCGGGCCCAGCGCTGCTGCTTTCACCTCTTGCCAGTGCCGCACCACGCGCACCGCCCACTGCATCTCCTCAACTTCTGAATATTCCTCTGCGCCTGCTGCTGCTTCTGAAAGCATAGAGTGAGAAATAGCAGCACAAGGAGGAAAAAGTAGGGGAAGTGAGGGGAAAAGAGTGAGTGTGGTCGGTCCACCCGGTGCTGCGGGCCCAGCGCTGCTGCCTTCACCTCCTGCCAGTGCCGCACCACACGCACCGCCCACTGCACCTCCTCCACCTCTGAGTATTCTTCCGCACCTGCTGCTGCTTCTGGAGCAACGGAATGAGGGCAAGGGGGTGTGGGGAAGGAAGAGGGGGGCGTGAGGTGGGAATGAGGTGCTGCGGGCCCAGCGCTGCCGCCTTCACCTCTTGCCAGTGCCGCACCACCCGCACTGCCCACTGCACCTCCTCCACTTCTGAACATTCCTCTGCACCGGCTGTTGCTTCTGAAAGTATAGAGTGAGAAGTAGCAGCACAAGGAGGAAAAAGTAGGGAAATTCAGGAGCAATGAGTGGGTGTGGTCCACGCAGTGTGATGGGCCCAGTGCTGCCGCCGCCCTCACCTCCTGCCAGTGCCTCACCACATACACCGCCCACTGCACCTTTGCCACTCACACACCATCCTTCTGCACTCACCAGAAGCAGCCTGCTCCTTCTGTCCAACCATGGCCGCCTCTACTCCCAGCATCGACCGTCCAAACCGCCCTGACCGCATGCGCCATGCCATGAACCCTCCCCCCGCCACCACCGCCGCCGCCACCACTCCTGCCACCACCATCCCCACCTTCCCACCAAATCTGCCCCTGCCGCTGCTGGTCACAGGTTCGGTTCCGGATACTCCCAAGGTGGGGAGGGATTCTGGTTGGGCAGTCCGGAGGGGGATGGGCGAGCCTTGGGGGTCGAGGAGGGGGGACGGGCCGAAGAGCTCTCGTCTGGTGCGCGATCGCGCTAGCTCTGCTGGGGGGAGCGACGAGGACGGATCTTGTAACGAGTCGTCTTGTAACGAATCAGTGGCTATGGGTGGGGAGGAGGTGGTGGTGGTAATGGCTGATGTGGAAACGATGAAAGGATTTTCAGCTGCTGCTGCTGCTGCTGCTGCTGCGCCTGCTGCTGCTGCTGCGTCACCCCCTCCCTGCATCCACGGAAACACCCCTCTGATCACCTCCATAGCAGCATTCCGCATCCCGCCCCCGTCCCCTCTCCCACTCTCCCCCACCTTCCCTCCTCCCCCTCCCCCCCCACCCTGCGCCTGATCCCACGCATCCAGAAAGCTCCCCACAGCAGGATGATCGAAGTACTCAGAAAGAACCACAGGCAGGTGCGAGGTATCCCTAAACCTCATAGCCACCACCTCCCTGAGCCACACCTCTAGCAAGCGGCACAGCCCCGGCAACAGCACATCCTCCTCGCCTGCCCCTGTCCCCCCTCCCGCTGCTGCTGCTGCTTTTGCTCCGGCTGTAGCCGTGGTGATTATGCTAGGAGCCGTGCTGCTACCGGCACCACTGCTACCTGTACTGCTGCTGCTGTCGCTGCTGCCGCTGTACCACGAGTCAATCGGAGGGGCGTTAGGCGAGTTGGCATAGACATACTCGGCAACAGCAAGGTCGCCACAGGGAGGGGTCACATGCACGCCCAGCCACCGCTTGCACGCGCCCACCTGCCCCAGCAGCAGCGCGCACATGGCCCTCTCTACTGACAGATCCGCTGGCACATCTGTTCCCGCCACCATCGCCATTGCACTCCCTGCTCCCCCCTGCCCCCGCTCTCCTCCCGCTCCCGCTCCTGCTCCTCCTCCTCCTCCTCCTCCTGCTCCTCCTCCTGCTCCTCCTCCTGCTGCTCTTGCTGCTGCGCTTCCTGCGATCACTCCTGCTTCGCCTGCTCCCCCTCCCTCTCCTGCACCAGCCAATCCGCTTCCGCCACCTGTCCCGGCCGCCGCCCCCGTCACTCCGCCGCCCGCCTCCCCCGCCCCGCCGCCCGTGGTGCTCACACTAACCAACAAACGATACGCGGTGGACTCGTTCAACTCTTTCAGCAGCGCGTCAGACTGGACGATGTCGGCCGGGCGGCGCAGGAAGAAGCCCCGGCCGGCAAAGGCGAGCGCGACCCAGTAGGCCTCGAGGATGCCGGCATCCACGTGCGGCGGGGCGGCTGCGAAATGGGCAATGAGCTCGGAAGTAGTGAGGCGGAGGAAGGCCTCCCGCATGAACACATGGCGGGAGAAACCGCCCTGAGAGGTGAATGTGAGTGCGCCGTCTTGGCTTTGGGACCAGAGGAGGTCGCGCATGGCCTGGAAAGGGAAAGAGGAAAGGGTGGGGAAAGATGAAGTGGGAGTGGGAGACAAGTGGGTGGTGAGGTCAGGGGTCAGAAGAGGAAATAAGAGATGAGTGGGTGGTGGCGAAGTGGGCGATGAGCTCCAAGGTGGTGAGGCGGAGGAAGGCCTCCCGCATGAACACATGGCGGGAGAAACCGCCCTGAGAGGTGAATGTGAGTGTGCCTTCTGAATTCTGTGACCAGAGGAGGTCCCTCATGGCCTGGGAGGAGGGAGGAGTGGGGGGGGGGGGGGGGGGGGGGGGGGAGCGAGCGAGAACATTGCCCACCCACCTACCTACCCGCCCACCCACCCACCTACCCACCCACCCACCTGTATGCCCTCGCTGCGGGCCTCCTCGTGCTCCTTGTCCAGGGGCAGCGCCAGCAGCTAGACCAGGAGCCGGGGGCCAGAGCCCACCTACCCACCCACCTACCCACCCGCCAAGCACCCACCTGTATGCCCTCGCTCCGGGCCTCCTCGTGCTCCTTGTCCAGGGGCAGCGCCAGCAGCTCTAGCACGCGTGTGGGACCCATCTCCCGCAGCGAGTCCTCTATTGCTGCCTGCAGGGACGGCGCCAGGCTTGGCCCTCCCTCGTCCTGAGGAAGAGGGAGGTGGAGAGACACGAGAAAAGGCTTATGTGCCAGGGGGATACAAAGAGAGCACACGGGTGGGACCCATCTCCCGCAGCGAGTCCTCTATTGCTGCCTGCAGGGACGGCGCCAGGCTTGGCCCTCCCTCGTCCTGATGGCGGGGAGGAGGGTAGGTGGAGAGACAGGCAGGGGAGAAGGCTTCAATGACAGGGGGTGACAAAGAGGGCACGCGTGTGGGGCCCATCTCCTTTAATGAGTCCTCTATTGCTGCCTGCAGGGACGGCGCCAGGCTTGGCCCTCCCTCGTCCTGATACGGGAGGAAATTCGACGCGATAGTGTGAGGAATACAGGAAGAAACAGAGGTGGAAGCAGGACGGGAGTGAGGAACGAGCAGACAGGCAGAGGAAGGACTGGGAGGAGGAATAGTCAAAATTTCTGAGAGAAGGGATTAGCAGACAAAGCCTGCACGCACCATCTGAAACCAAAACCTGGAACCCGAAACCCGAAACCTCTGGTCAAAACCTTCCCTTCCCATCAAACAACTCACCTGCAGAAGCTTCAGCGCAGCTTCCAGCAGCTCGCAGCCCTGTGCCACTGCAGGCGGATCTGCTGACATGGCATCTCGCGATAGGTCCGAGTATGCCAATGCTGTGGCGAGTGCCACGTCAGCACGAAAAGCCGGATCACCATCCGGGCGGGAGAGGAGGTCGAGGCCCGCCTCTGCCACGTCAGCAGAGCGGCCGGCTTCTTGCAACAGACACAACACGCCAGGCACCTGGGAAATACATGGAGAATAATAATAAAGCCCTACTTGTAACTATCAAACGTATGTACATGTAGAGCAGTAGATACTGCGAGAGGGTGACAGCTGAAAGAACACAATTTTTCATGACAGACAAGCAACCTACCAGTTTCAGGAAAAACGAGGTGGGAAGAGAAACAACAACTCACCCGGCTCATTGGCACATCAACCATGATCGCAGTCTCGCCCCCGTACTCCCCTCCACCCCTCCCCACACCCCCCAACCCCTGCTGCTGCTCTGCAGCCGCTGCCTTCAGGTCCTCATCATACTCTGCCCGGAGCTCCACGTCCAGTAGCGTGTCGCGGGCAGCCTCCAAAACTTCCGCCCTGACCGTGAGGGCGGAGACAGTGAAGCCTTCTTGAGGCGGCGAGGCGAGCATGGAGTCGAGCATGAGGTCGATGGTGGCTGTTGGGGTCTCGGGATGAACTCTCAGCACCTGGGAGGGAGGGATGAGGGAGCGAATAGGGACAAGGTGAGGGGCGAGGCGAGCATGGTGTGGAGCATGAGGTCGATGGTGGCCGTGTGGGTCTTGGGGTGCACTCACAGTACCTGGGTATACTTTCAGCTGCTCTAAGCAACAGGTCCTTCGTACGCGGTACAAGCAGCACTCTGGCCATCAGTCTACGTGGTTGAAAAAACATGTTGGCAATAGCAGAGGCTATGAGTGTACGCGACCATGTGACGCTGTAAGTGCAACAGCGGGTGTTATTAGGGTTGGAGGATGGACTTTCAGCGTCAATGTACAGTTTGTCTTCATGAAACGAAACACTGTAAACAGTAAAGGAGCAGTTTGCCTCCGTGCAATCGGTTAACAACTACAGGCATCCGTAAACACACAAGCCACTTTATTCTCTGCATTAACTAATGCCGTACCTCGTAATAACTTATCGGAAGGCTCATAAACGGTTCGTCTCCTCCATCCTCGTCCGCGTCGTAAACGGAAACCGTCGAATTGTTCGTTTCCGTCACAACACCGCCTGCGACCCTTCCCCCCTCCGCGCCATCCGCGCCATTTGCGGCGGAATACGCGGCCGCCACGCAACAACGCCGAGTAGGACCCTCAGACTTGGCTCCCCTCACATTGTGCAGCGCACTACAGGTGCTATTGGAATTGCAGTTAGAGGTCAAAACGCTGCGTGACAACCGTGGGACCCCGATAAAACTGGCCTTCCTGAGAATGGTAACAGCGGTGGTAACGATGGTGGGTAGCTGAGCCCGCTGGCCGTGTGGCCTGTTATTTCCTTGCTTTCGCGGACGTATTAAAGCACTAACAGAGTTATGGTAAGTAAAGTTCTGATAATTACTACGTGTTAATGTGAGAGGGTAACTCGAGGGAAAATTAGAATGCAATCTGGCAACCTGGTAGGCGGTGGCAACGCTAGTTCCTGCCATGTTGTTCTTAGCTAAGCCGTGAAACTTTATGAAAAATTAATATGTTTGCTGTCAGTGTAAATAATGAATTAGCCACTACATGTAAGAATCTCTGCTTCCCCCAACGATCAGACCCTAATGGGCCGGTTTCTTTCCAAAACTAGGTATCCACCACTAAATCAACCGCCTAACTAGAATTAGTCTGCTAAACTGGTAAGCCAAGACTGAGAAGCAGTCAGACCGAGTTCGGGAAGAGTGCCTTCGTCCTGTGTGGTTACCACGCGTTATGCGACATTGTGGATCGTGGTGGTTCTGTAGCGAAGATGTGTGGGCTTGGCGGGAAATTCGAAGTTCCCGCCAAGCAGATCGAGAGAGGCCTTGTAGCGAAGATGTGTGGGATTGGAAGGACAAAATCGTGGACTTGGGCTTCTTGTGAGATTGCGCGTGCGAAAATCGCGGACACTAACAGTGTAGCCTTATTTTGCTGAATGATTGAGGATGGCAGCAATAGAGCAAACTATGAGAAGCATTTTCATGTGAGAGATAATAAATGTGCGCCGGTGAGAACGTCTAGAAAGGGGGTATATTGTATCGGGGTTGGAGTTGCCGAACTGTACCCCTACCCGTTCAGATTTGAGTGGCCCCGGAGAGAGGAGTGATTACAGCCGACCAAACCTCATGGCGAACGGCAGAACTGACCTCTGAGAATTCATCTCGGCCATTTTCAGGTGCATGCAGCTTAGTCGAGGCGCGTTATTCAGGTGCATGCCAGGTTGCGTACACTTTTCTCAGGTTAAACAATTTCTCCCGTAAATGAATACGCAGTTCAAGATTCGATAAAAATTGACACAAAAGGTCTGAAATAGATGGAATTTCGGAATACGCAAATCGGAATCGGGATGATTGGCTTTCGATGCTGCATTTTCTGACGTAACTCAGTGCAATGATTGCATTTCTGCCCAGTTTCTACGCAATTTTTTGCTTCGCACCAAATCTTTTTGAACGGATTGTAATGCTAAATCGTTTGTACTGTTGGCGCAGGTGGCGGACGCTTCGCGGGTCAAATCAGCAAACTCTAGTGGGACGTGCATTGCTTGAAAAGGGTAGTCCGAAACACGATAAATATGCCCGAGTGTTAAGAGTGAGTTACCCCTACCGCTATTAAGGATATATCGTATGTTACATGTATATTTAATGCCACGTAATTAAGGCCGTTGAATACCACCTATTTCAATATGCACGTACGGCAAACTTAGTTTGGTAGAGGCAAAATATACAAACACTCACGAAGGGTTTGCTGATTTGCCATGCGCAGCGTCCGTCATCTGCGTCAAAAGTACAACAGATCTAGCATTAGATTCGTTCGAAATGAGTTGGTGCAAAGCAGAAATTTGCGTATAAATTGGACAAAATGCAATCATTACACTGAGTTACGTCAGAAAATGCAGCATCGAGAGCCAACCATTCCGATTCCAATTTGCGTAGCCCGAAATTGCATCTATTTCAGACCTTTTGTGCCAATTTTAATCGAATCTTGAACTGCGTGTTAATTTACGAGAGACATTTTTTAACCTGAGAAAAGTGTAAGCAACCTGGCATGCACCTGAATAACGCGTCTCGACTAAGCTGCATGCACCTGAAAATGGCCGAATTCATCTTGCGGCGGATCAGTGAATCAGTGCCTTTTTGCCAGAGGGCCCGGAAGATTACGCTCATCTGCAGGAATACACGTGGGGTGCACAGCTTGGCTGCGAAGATGTGGTGGGGCGTCGGCGTCCCAGGGTTACGTGGCAAAGTCGTCAGTGAAAAGCCGCCCCCCGGGCGTTGCGGCTCGGGGCTGAAGTTCACGCACATGGCCCTGCGAAAAGCTGCCCATGTCGACGGCTGCCGAATTCCGCGACAAAGTAACATCTTAATGCGACAAATGTGTCGAAAGTTTTCGTTCTTATCGTGAATTCTTGGCAACAGCGGTATTTTCGACGACTTCATATCCACCATAGAAACCCCTACGCTTTCCCCCTAGGCTTGTTCACACCCAATATCCGTGTCTGCCCCTTGCAAGATTTACACCATTCTTCCAACATACCATCATTTCTGGTAGTGACGAGCTTCGTCCTCCTTACATGAGGCAAGCTCGCCATACCATTTTTTCAAGGGCAGGAGCATAGGCTCGTGTCCGTTAGTCCTCTCTCCGTGGTTTTCAATCCCGTCCTGTTTCTATTCGACTCTCCTATTTCTCCCCCGTCGAATCCCGTCCACTCGCGATGGCGACTGCAGCAGCCCTGGTTTGTCCGATGCGAGGCGTCCCTGCCTTACGTTTAGACACAGCAGCCAGCAACGGAGTTACCACTGCCACAACCATCTCATCGCACACCACCCTCTCATCTCACACCGCCCTCTCATCCGCAGTCTCACCTGCTACTCCCTCGCTGCGCGCCGAGCCGAGCAGCCTCTGCGGAGCGTTCGCGGAAGCTTCTCGCCAGCAGCTTGCCAGCCGGAGGTACTCAAGCCACCGTCAGAGCCCCTGCAGCCTGGTGTTCCCAAATTCGTCGGATGCTGACGTGTCAGTTTCAGCCACGTGGCACTCGTGGCGAACGGGTGCTCCGTCGCGATTGGCTGGAAGCATCGCGGCGGGCGTTGCGCACAGAGGACGTTGCCGTACTCGGGTGACAGTAACGGGAGGTCCAAGCTCGTCTTGCAGACACGGCGGAGACAGTAACAAGTGTGACAGTATCAAAAGAACACCTGTTTCTTCCCAGGGAAACCTGCCCGCGTCTAGGGTTGGCAGAAACGAATTTCCATCCAATCAGGGGGGGCGGAGCGGCGAGGATACTACCTCCAGGCGAGTAACTACCTCCGCACTTTCCTCTCCATCGGGATCCCACCCAATCGCACCTCCGCAGTCATCGCCGCTTCATCGCTCGCCGTCGAAGAAAGCACCATCCGCAGCCGAATCCCCCTCTGTCGCCACCGCCGCCGCTGCCGGAGTAGCCTCTACGTATCTGTCGACCTCCACCGCAACCGCCAACCTTGAAGCCTCTTATTCGGCCTCCCTTCCGCTCACCGTGCCGCATCTGACGGCGCCTCTTGACCTAAGCCCGAACGCGCACCGCCAGACGCGGTTCGCGGTGGCTCTGGCGGCGCAGCTGTCTCTGTTCTCCGTGCTGGCGCTGCTGCAACCCGTCTCCGCGCTCGCCCTTGCGCAATCCGCGCGCGGAACCGCCTCCGCGCGGTCATCCGCCGGGCGCTCTTCCGCCGCCTCCTCCGCCTCCTCCTCCGGCTCCGCATCCTCTTCCGCCAATGCCACTCTCGCGCTCCTGCCCACGTGCCCCGCCACGTGGCACGAAAAGGACGCAGCTGCTGCCGCTGTAAGCGATTCGGACAGATTCGAGGTGGATAGAAGGCTGAGCAAGAGTGCGACGACTAAGCACCACGAGAAACGGCGGGATTCCCGCCGCCTAATCACATCGTCGAAAGCAGCGGGAGCGGCGGCCGCGGACGGGGCATTTGCGGACACGTTTGCGGCATTGGCGGGGGACGATTGGGTTCCGCAGAACGGTAACGGGGCGGCGCGCGGAAGCAGCAACGGGAACGGGCGGGGGCTGTGGGGGGGAGTACGGGGGGGAGACGCTGCGGCGGGGAGGGGGGAGTGGCAGGCGGTGAGCCTGGCGGAAGCGCGGGAGATGGCGGAGCCGCCGTTCAAGGTGGCGGCACCGGGGCAACGAATTGTTGCGAGTAAGTTCCACATGTTATTGTAGCGAATACATGCTTTTAAATCTCTGGATGATTCCTCTTCGCCTTCTGGTCCCCTCCCTCCCCCGCTCAACGCCCCCTTCATTCCCCCGATCCCTCTCCTCTTCACCCAACTGCCTCCCACTCTCTTCCCCTTTCTTTCCTTCGCAGTCGGTGACGTGCACGGCGACTGGGACCAGACTCTTGCAGCGCTGCGCGTGGCAGGCCTTCTGCAATTTATCCTTTACCCTCCTGCTCTCCCCCCCCCCTTCCCCCCCCTCTCTACCCACCCCGCACCTCAGTCGGCGACGTGCACGGCGACTGGCAGCAGACCCTAGCAGCGCTGCGCGTGGCGGGTGTGCTGAACGAGAAGGACGGCGTGAGCGACGACGAGATGTGGACGGGCGGATCCACGGTGAGTCGATGGGGGGCGAAGGGGAGACGGGGAAAGAGGGATAAGTGAGGGAGGCGGGTATGGACCGCTTGGCTGGTTAGTGGGCGTGCTGAACGAGAAAAACAGCGTGAGCTACGACGAGATGTGGATGGGCGGGTCCACAGTAAGTCGATGAGTTGAGGGATGGGCTGCTGCTGGGTTGTCTATGCGTGATTAGTGAGGCGGAGGGAGGGGTCTGAGATGTGGGTTGAGAATGGAACGGGTTTGAGTGTCTGAAGGAATTAGAGTAACACAAGATTGGAGGTAAGAAGTGAAACGATCTCTACCACACAAGGATGACTTTTGAGGATTGGACCTGATGTCACAGTAATTGCATGGGTTTGACTTCATGAATTGAGACGTTGCAAGACTAGATTATAACCGAAGGAAAAGGGGTCGAGTTCGGAGGCGTTTCAAACATGCCCACGGTTGCTAACGGAATTCTCTTGAATCAAAGCCTCACTCAAATCTCCCTGTTGGCTCTTTCATCTCGACCTCGTGGATCGCCCACTCCACTCCCAGGCCCGCCTCTCTACTAATAAAAATCCGGATTAGCCTCTTTCTATTCGTTTGCCTCACAAACCCGCTGCTATGTTGACCCCTTGTACGTGTTGCCCCTTGCGCCCTTTGCTTCCCTTTCTCCCCTTGCGCCCCTTGCGCGCCTTGCGCCCCTTGCGCGCCTTGTCCCGCTGTCACCCCTTGTCCCCTTGCACCCTTTGCGTGCGTTGTGCCCTCATATGTTGGTTAAGGCGAGAGACGTGTTGGACGATGATGAGTTCGTATTCGCCGGCGGCGGAAAAAGATGCTCAGATGGCGGAGAAGGATGCTCGGATGGCGCAGATGAGCGCTAAGTTGGAGTAGATGAGCGCTCAGCTGGAGGAGATGTGCGCTCAGCTGGAAAAGATGAGTGCTGAGCTGGCTGGCGGAGAGGATTATTACCTGGCAAAGAGGGACGCGCAGTTGGCGGAGAAGGAGCACATCCTTCTCCGCCATCTGAGCGCTCATCTCCACCAGCTCAGTGTTCATCCGTTTCAGCTGAGCGCTCAACTACTCCAGTTGAGCGCTCATTTGCTCCAGTTCAGCGCTCCACCTGAGCATCCTTCTTCCCCGGGTTCTCTCGCCGCTCAGAC